GATATGGCAATGGCTCTTTTGCAAATCAAACGACATATTCAACTGGTAATAATCCTTTATCTGTAACTGTGGGTGATTTTAACAACGACACCCGACTCGATATTGTCGTCACTAATTGGAATGACAACACTATGAGTGTCTTGCTCGGATATGGCAATGGCTTTTTTGCAAAACAAATGACATATTCAACTGGTATTAGTCCTTCATCTGTAGCTGTTGGTGATTTTAATAATGACACTCGATTGGATGTCGTCGTCGCTAATCTGAATCAGAAAAGTGTTAGTGTATACTTCGGATATCCTAATGAAGGTTTTCTAAATCAAACGAGCCTCATAACTGGGAATGGATCTCGGCCTAAGTCATTCGCCATTGGAGACTTTAACAATGACGATCAAACAGATATTGCGGTTGCGAATTCAGGCACTAACAACGTTGGTATTTTTCTGAGATATGGCAATGATTCTTTCGCAAATCAAATGACATATCCAACTGATTCTTCTCCATGGGCGGTAGCTGTTGGTGATTTCAACAACGATACAATACTTGATATTGTCACCGCGAATCATGACAATGACAATGTTGGTATATTTCGTGGATGGGGTAATGGTTCCTTTTCAAGCCAGAAAACGTTTTCAACCGGTTTCAACTCTCAACCGAGCGCGGTTGCTGTTGGTGATTTCAACAACGACACCTTGCTGGACATTATTGTCGCCAATTATGGCACAAGCAACGTCGGTGTGTTGCTTGGATATGGTAATGGCTCCTTCGCTGATGTAAAAAGTTTTTCGACCGGTTATGACTCTCTTCCGTTCTCGGTTTCCGTTGATGATTTGGACAATGATGGAAAGCTGGATTTCGCCGTCGTCAATAAAGGAGCTGACAATCTAAAAATTTTCTTACAGACTTGTTAATATCGCAACTCCTATCTTGAACCTTTTTTAATTTCATTCACTGTTTCTAACTTCTACTTAGTCTCACTAATATTTCTTGTAATCTTTTCTTATTGATCTTTTGATTTCTATGCTCAAATAAACTGCGATTGAGACTAGGTGCCTCAACTAACGTATTGACGCGTGGGTGTGGATATGTGTGTGGATGTGGGTATGTGTGTGGATGTGGGTATGGGTGTGGGTGTGGGTGTGGGTGTTGATGATGTGAAGATTAACAGCCACTCTCACACCCACCCACACCCACACCCAAACGCAACTCAATGAGTCCTGTTCGTGATTAAATTTCTGTCTCGAAATATGAGCCTATTCGATTTTTATAAGTGATCAAAAATACAGAAAAAGAGGCTTTTTGGTAAGTTAAATCCCTCATAACTTTTGATAAGGATACGATAGAGGACCAAAAGTATTACCGTAGATAGAATATTCAAAGATCTATGTGTGCTAAAACTTTCATCTAATTCGATAAATGCGTTCGTCTAAAACAGGTCTTCCAAAAATGAAGCTTTGACAAATATATCGATCGCCTCGGGATCTGGACCTTATCGTTTGAAAGTGTTCCCGATGGGCTACAACTCGGTGTAGAAATTAGCATGAAATCTCTAGAATTCGCTGATGACGGAGAGCATCTTTCGAGCCGAATGTTAAATTTTTGTTTATGAGCCATTCGATATAAGCAATGATCGCTGAATAGAAAAGCTGCTCCGATGAAGTCTTCAGATGTCGCTTGATCTATAATACTTTGATAGAGGGAAGTGTTTTGTAAAATTTGGCTCAAGCCGTTTTGAATCATAGTGAACTATTGAATTTTTGGATAAATGTGCTTGTGCTAACATTAGCTTTGCCCTGACCCACATCCACACCCCACTCTAAATTGAAATTATACAATGGTATATCATTTAGGAGAACGCAGATGAGACTGCTCGTCAATTTCAGAAATATTATGACTAAACTCCTCCAACACATACCAACATCTTGAACCTTGTACAGAAGTTCAACTAGATCGGAAGTATTCATGATACACCTAGATTTGGTCGATCCAGATCTGTTAGTACCGGTGAAAATCGAGAATGAATGCATGCTGCTTTTCAGAAAAATCCCGAGACGTCATGTAGAAGAGCATATTTGAAGCTGACTAGAACCAGTCTTTGACGCATGATGAAGGAACTAAATAGATACTGATTATGTGCTACACCTTTGAGTTATGCTATCTACTATCTATGATATAAATATGAGATCACATTGACTATGTCCAAGCAAAAAAATCGAAAAAAATATTCGTCCTATTACTTTTGGCCCATCCAATATGTTGAATAAAAAATGTTTAATTAAATTTTTATTAGTTTTTATTGACAAAAATCCATGGATAATTTAAAGAAAAATAATTATATCGAATGATAAATGATTCAATTGGTCAATTATTATAACTTAAATATTCTTCACAAATATATTCTGATAAACCTTCTCAATACTATGCAGTGGTTGATAATAAATCTTCATCACTAGAATTAATCAAAAAATAATATTGATTAAACAAATAAAATTTTCTAATTTAAGATATATTCTTATCAAAAATAGATGTTCACGAAAAACTTTTCTCGTTAATAACAAATTCAATAGTGTGTTAATCAACCATAGGTAACAATGTAAATTTGATTATCGTTATCATTGAG